CCAGGACATTGCTATACTATTTTACTTGATGATAGATAAAAACCACTGTTAGGCTAGAAATGAGTCTGGGATCGTTACATGAACAACATAAACCAGAACATTGGACTTAGAATGTTTAATTCACTTAATTTATGGTTTCTAATTTCAGAGTCAATGAGAAAGGTAAATAATAACCTTCATATAATATTAAAATTTATTTAATACAAAATTTAAAGTATTCTACAAACTTTCATCTCATTAATTGGAGAAATATAATGTGGCACTCATGAGAAATTTAAGTAAAAGAATTTGAAAGAAAAAATAGGAAGTTATAGATGGGAAAGTATGAATGAATGTTGTATCCACTATGAATAAAATATCTGTATCATAATTTTAGAATTTAATATTATTTTTTCTAAATCAGAAAGTATCAATTTCAAATAGAGTGTGTTTTTTTTAATGAATGGTGCAATTTAAAAAACGCATAGGCCTAAAATCAGCAATAGGCCTGTCATACATGTATACTAACACCAAGTCTTGGGTCTCAGTGGAAAAACATTGAAGCAGATGGCTATAAACTAATGTAAACAGGCAGCTTTCATGGAAATTTACAAGCCTGAGTAGTCATAGACCTTTTAAATAGGTAGCCTTGGCAGACAATACCAACTTAGATAAGGACAAGCGAGTCATAGGCAGAGTCATAGTGACTTGTCCCCTGAACCTTCACCAAGCCGATACCCAGTTCTGAAGATATCTGTATTCCTCCTGAACACCCACACTCCAGTGTCATTCCCTTCCCCACATCCTGCCTTTCTGTGTTTATAACCCCTGTGTCAATTAATTATGATTTGAGAAAAAATAAATAAAAAAAAAGTCCTCTTCTTTGTGCTGAAATATTGTCTAGGATTTTCATATTTTTATATCAGTCCTGATGTATCTGACAGACAATCCTTTTTGGGGATCCTTAACACCTGTGTCTCTTAGAATCTTTTTATGTCCTCTTCCTCATAGAGCACTGAGCCTTTAGAAAAGAGTTTCAATAAAAGCATCCTATTTAGGGCTAAGTCCTTCCAAGTTCTTACTAACTGGGCATTGTCAAGTGTGGGTTACTATGTCTATTACCATCAACTACAAGATGCTTTTCTGATACTTCTTATTGGAATTTACTTATTACATGGGTATAACAATATGTCTTTAGGTATCTGTCCTTTTTAGGCTCATGATCTATCAAGTCTCATGCACGTAGCCCCTTAGCTATGTTAGGTATTGGTCCAATTTCATAGGGTGGACCATAAATTTCATTGAAAGAAATTGGTGGTTATCTATGTCACTACTGCAACACCATACTGTGCAGTCAATTTTCTAACATATGTCACTGAGTTTTTAGCTAGATTATAATCATTACTATTTTTCTCCTCTGGTAGCTTTCATGCTATCTTCCAGCACCATGAATGCTACTCAGTAGAAATAAAAGATTCTAGTCGTGCACTAGCTCATTTTTTCCACATTCAAACACATAAACCAATGATATCTTCAGCAACACAAGCCTTAAAGTGTTATTATTTAAATACATTTGCAGCCTACAAAATAGAAAAATCTTCATCAATTAGACATGTGATAGAGAGTTACTATATACAATATATAAAGAACTAAAAAAATGTAAACATAATATAAATAACCCAAATCGAAAATGGAACATAATGCTAAACAGAGAGTTTGAAAAAGATGAAATATAAATGGCTGAGAAAATTGATATTCTTTAAGATCCAGCTTTATCACAATTGGACATATACCTTAATGACTACATCTTACTACAGAATATTAGTGTATATGCTTCCCCAAATATATACATATATAGAAGGAATTTAAGTAGAGTCACCAAATAATAAGTGTGACAGTGACCCCAAACAGATATGCCATCAAGTAAAACCATGCAAGGCATTTGTTACATCTTGTTGGCTTGGTACCAAAATTATTCCCATAGATGCTCTTAGATATTGGAGCCTATTGTCATACGTATTAGTTACACAATTCTCTTTTGATGAGCTGCCTAGTTGCAGCTGAAGAGACTTCTTATTGGCAAGAGTGCTTGTTGTTCTTCCAAAAAACACTGAGTTTGGTTTCCAGGAGCAATGCTTCAAAAACAAAAGAGACAAAGAAGAGGTAATATACAGTCACATAGATTCACCCACAAATATAGATAAAAACATTCAGAGAAACACAATGGAGATGGTAAAACATATTTGTAAATCCCAAAGGGTAAAAATCCTCTTTTACTTCATCATATTCTGTGAATATCAAGATGTGTTAAAAGGAAGTCCATGAAGCTATATGTATTTTGTTGACAAAGCACTTGAGTAATTTTCTAGATTCAATTCCCAGAACCAAATTAACTATTTGGCTAATTAAATTTTAAAATGTGCAGATGTGTGGAGTGTGTTGTTTCACCTGTGAGTCCATGGTTTTAGAAGTGCAGACACGGAGGCAAGTATTTAATAATTCATGTAATTCTTAATCATTTAATCTTATTTTCTGAGTCATGGTATTTCAGTGAATGGGGACTCATGGAGTAGCTAGGACAGCTAGCTAGGCAAATTCAGACAACTTTTATTCAACCCATTGTCTCTTACTACTGGGCTTATGGATACCTAGAGCCACACATGGGGGTTAAGTATCCAAACACAGGTCATTTTTTTACTGGAGATGCATGATTTAATTTGACCAGAGGCTAGCCCAATACTAAATGATGTGAATACCTATATCCAATAGAGTCATAACCTCTGTTCTCCATGAAACAACAGGCAAGAAGTAGTAATATCATATGGAAGAAATTAGAAACAATGTATTAAACAGTAAAGAAGCAATAACATTCAATAGAGCAATGTGTGCTCTTCAGAAAAGAGATATAGTCTCAGTGAACTTCAGTTGAAGTTAACAGTGTAGATGCTTACAACTGACTTCAATAAGATTCTCCAGAAATGTAGGGGTTGAGTAGGTTACACAGAAGATGACACACAAGCCATGCCCCAATTTATGATGTCTGCTTCATGATTCAAGCGGCTCAATCACACTGATGGTGTACTCAGTGTATTAAGTATGTTGTACAGGGTTGAGAACATTTTCAGCCAAAGTAATTAATTACCTAACAATCCCTTTAAACTGCAAACCAGAATCTCTGATCATTAAACCAAGTATATAATATATAAATTGCCATGTTTTGATTCTGATTGGCTTTGAAGCATTTAAATCACTAGTTACTACTTTATCTCTCCTTATATTATCCCATTTTAAATAATTCTCCCTGTTTCTGATTAAAAAAAAACAAGATGGAAAAAAATCTATCATTAAGAAAGGTTACTCTTAGCTTCCTGAAATAAAACATAAATGGTTTGAGGGAGTCATCCAGTGCCCTGCTTGGGTTGTTTTCTTTATTTTTCACTGTACTAAATTTTTGTAAGGTCCTTTTTTTTTTTTTTCATCTCATCTCTAGTGTATGCTGTGCTTACGAGTCTGCTTATTTGAGGCCCCTGACAAATAGCATCCAGCTCTGTTTGTGACAATTGCCAGAAGGATAGTCTGCACAATGCATTTTGATATCTTTTAATATGTGATAAATGTGGCTCTGTGTTGAGTTTACATAGCACACCTGGTGCAGCAAACCCACACAGCTGTGAGCAGGTGTGAACACTTGTTTCCCAGCATCTCGTGTTCTGCTCATTTGAGTCAGCTTCCTAGGTGTACTGCAGCTGCTAAACGAGTCCAACTTATCTTAATAGCAGCGTTGCGGATGTGCGTGCTTTCCGTCGCTGCTTACATTGGAACAACCCAGCAGGACTGAAAAGTGACTTTGCAGTTCATCTGGGATTGGCCTTCCCAGATTGAGAACTTGATTTCCTGAATACATATCTACTGATTCTGGGGCTTTTGCCAAAACAGAGAGCTAGGTATCCAGGAATGCATCAGAATTCCTTGCTGGAGGGGAATATTCATGAACTGGAAAACTGCCAAGATTTACCCAAGAATAATGTTTAGGGAATCTGAACAAAAAGGGACAGTTTCTCTGGGGCATCTGAGAGTACAGAAGGCTCAGAGCATCTAGCTAAATCCAAAATTTGCTGTTTCCTTTGGGCTACTATTTCTACCCTTACCTCTACACCTGGAGGATTAGGATTTCAGATTCCTCATAAGAGTTAAACTTTACATAAGCTGTTAGGGAAAAGTACATTCTAAGCACTTTTGAGATTGAATCCTGTACTTGTATTATCACTGTCATAAGCAGTATAGTGATTTAACAGCCTATAGGATGTGTTTGACAATGCAGGGAGCCAGTACTGGATCTTCTTCCACAGCAGAGAAGAGTTTTCTTGACTTGAATGTTCACCATGACTGATAAAAAGTATTGACATGGGAGAATGAAATATGAAAGCTAAACCAACTTCTGATTGTTAAAGAGGAGGACTCACAATATATGCTCAAGTGGAAGTCAGTTTGTTAAATTGTGAAAGATTAATGCAATCCACTGAACTTTCCCCATCACAGGATGTTGAGAAGAGGAGCTACATTCTGAAAACCGTGAGAAAGAAGAAATTCTAGGAAATGCTGAAAGGTGCTTATCTAGCAAGTTCAAGGTCTTGGATTTAATAGGTACTATACCACAATCAAATGCAAAACAACAAATAATATGAAGTTAGCAAGTGGCAATCTCTTGGATGCTAAATTTCATATTTGTATGATTAAAATCAGACTAATGCTACTCTAAAAAAAGGAGCAAAATCTTAAAAGATAATTATTACTGTCAATGTTACAGATAATTAAATCATGGAAATACTTGGTAAATCAAGGGTTAAGAAGATGGGGGGGTATGATTTCTTGACTTTACACAATGTTATTATTTTTGGCCAAAACCTTCTTAAGCATATTTACTAATCATTTATGTAGTGTTATTTTTCAGTGTTCTCATAATCACCATAGAAGATTAAGATCAAATGCTAGAACTTATTTTTAAAAGAACAGACACTTACTTTTGTTCTCAAGCCAATTTTAACATCCTTTCATGTTCTTTATAATTAACATCTTGGCTCAGATGATAGATTCCTCTCCCCTGGATGTGTCAAATACTGGTGTCACTGTGAAAAAGATAGGCAGGCCTCAGCCAGAGCAAATAGTACCCATAGATGGCAAGGTTGTGGGAAAGAAGTGACATTGTCAGTTGGTCACCTCTTTTAATCAAAAAAATTCTTATACTAAAGTTTTTTCTGCTTTGCTGTATTGTTAATATTGTAAGATCAAAACAAAGGTCACTGACTGACCCAGTCAACAGAGCACTATTCTGTTCCTTTCACTGGAGAAATGTTTTGAAATTGTCTAAAGAAGTAGAGTGAGATACTGTTGACTTGATGGCTGGTTAATTAGATAAAATATAGAAATCAAAACCTAAAACTCAAGAATTCATACAATATATAATACACACACACACACAAACACAAAGACACCCCCACACACACAGGATATGATTCTGTGTGTCTGCATCTGTGTAACTTGTATTTATTTTCAAATATGCATTTTCTTGAATCTTCACCTAAATGTTTTCTCTTTTTAAGATAAAGGAGGAAAGGATAATTTTTGAAATTATGAATATTTTTTAAATATAACAAGCACTTACAAATATAGGGCCCACTGGAAAACATTTGAAAAAAAAAGCCTTTGTTGTAAAAGAAAATAAACAAGTTTCATAAGAAGAAAGTCATTGACATTACAGTGAAGCAGAGAGAAAGCTTAGTTGCTAGAAGAACTGAGACAGACTTTTTCCATAACAGTTCTCTTTTCTGAAGAGTTTTCTTGTCTGATTCCATTGCTATCATCATTATGTATCTTAATTCTATTTAATGCCAGACCAAATTATTCTCTACTGAATCTTTTTAAATTTGGAAAAGACCAAAATTTTTTTTACAAAGTTTTCACCTTGTTGCTTAGGTTTTATCAGTGCCCACATTTTATCATTGTCATAATTTTCATAATTGTCATAATTATCAAATATACCATACTTCCTGATAATATATCTTTCAGGGAGTGAACCTATTCCAACTTTGGACATGTTTGCAGTCATCAGTGTCACATGATTTTCTAGACTGAGTGACCAGTTTCATGAACACAGTAGAGAGCCCAAATAGCTAATCCTTGGCAAAAGGAAAAGGTGAGTTTATTAGTAAACCATTGCAACAATTACAGACAACACTAAGGTAAGTGCACAAGTATATCAGTATAGTAATAATCATGCTAATATTCAAGCCAAGTTCACTCTGAAGACAATATGAAACCAAATTCCACTATAGGGAGATAACAATGAAGAATTATGCAACAAATCTATAAGAATGTGACTGACAACTACATTGAACAAGTATTACTTTAACTTAATTCTAATTTGATAATGTTTAAGAGAACACTATAGTAGATTTTCTTCGAGGACATAAATAATCTTGAGAATGTATATTGTTTATTTGCAAGACCTTGTGTGCTTGTTAACATGGCATGCAGAATTCTCATAATTGTTTTACATTCCCTGACTTAATTTACACCTTAATTTAACCATATTTGATACATTTAACCTTATTTTCACACTAAAGGCACTAAATGTTAATAGGTCTAGATAATGTCTCCAGGTTTATGACATTTTTAATCTGTGTGAAAATTCAGAGATTTTTTTTTAGAATAGTATAACTAGAAAAGATTTCATATATTATTTCTTTTAAATCCTTAAATTTTACTAAATTGCAAGAAATTGAGTCTGGGATTTTAATGACTTGCCTTGAGCCATTTAAACAGCTGTGCTTCCTGCCTGCCAGCCCCAAAGCCTACAGGGAGTGTTAGTGGTGTGATTTTACTAGAGTACCTGTCTGCATAGGTGAATGTTATGATACTCTAGTTTTTTATTGCTTTTTCACATACAAACACACACATACGCACATACACACACACACACACACACACACATGCACACACACATACCTCTTAGAAAGCTAGGTTTTCATCACACTTTCTTCGGCATTGTGTTAGACTGAACAAAATTAAGGAAGCTCATCTTTGTCTGCTTTGAAAAGCATCTTCCCATTCAACCCTTGGTACTTACTCATCAGCATTTGAAATTGTCTTTCCCATATCCTTGACAGACTGTTAGGTTATAGCTAGAGAGGGGAAAGTCAATTTAATTAACATAAGCAGAATAAGGTCTAGGATATCCTTTTACCTTTTCTTTCCACTAAGTTAAAACTAGCAATATTAGATCAAAAGGAAAGAATGTCTTTTCCAAATAGTCTCTAAAAGGAAATATTGGCAATATTTTACTTCTGGGTTTTAAAAATGTTTTTCTTCTACTTAGAACTCATAAGGTCTTTAAATAAATGTTTTTGTGTTATTTTCACTGACAAATGTAGATGATGTGTATGTTAATATAACACACACTCAAATCAATGCAAACTGTCATTCTTCTTGTATAGAAAATATAGTATTATTAGAGAAAGATGGGTTTGCAGAAATAACGTATTAATTCCAAAATCTTATTATTTTCTTACCTTGAATATCAAACAGATTTTGAAAGATGGATTTGGATCTATACATGATAGACCATCAGGGTGTCAAACTGATAGAGGTTGCAGACCCCAAGAGCATCACCAACATGTCGGCAGCTTCTACCATTATCACAGTGAAACTGAGAATGAGAGAAATCCAGACCTACTGCATATTATCACACACTATTAACAATACTACACAACATCAATAGATTAGAAAGACACACATGGTTCCAAACTCTCTTTGTATATTTAGTGGGTGGGGAAGTTAGAGAAAAACATGTAATGAATTTGATGTAATACAGTTATTTCCACTGAAGACTAAGAAGTTGTTAAAATATCTCATGGTTGTTTCACAAATTTAGTAAGAGCTTGCTAGGCCTCTGCTGTTTCTTTACATGGATAACCTCATATTACACATTGTAAATAATAGCAGTAATTTTATGTGTTTTAGGAAGCTTTGGGGGCTGGAGTGATGGCTCAGCAGTTAAGAGCACTGGCTGCTCTTCTAGAGGTCATGAGTTCAATTCTCAGTGACCACATGGTGGCTCACAACCATCTATAATTGAATCTGATGCTATCTTCTGGTGTTTCAGCAACAGTGTGCTCATATACACAAAATAAATAAATAAAAATCTTTTTAAAAAGAAGCTTTTGTTGTCTATAATGGAATCGTGCATGTAACTGCATTTTACATGGATCTTTCACATAGTAAGAGGATTTACAAGGATTTACATAGTAGAGGACTTACAATGATCTTTCACATAGTAAGATATTGTAATGAGCTATGAGATATCTATGAACTAGACTATAAAGACAAATGGAATATGACAACACCCATAGGCAAATCAAAGTATACTAGGAAAAAGAATGTATTCAAAAATTCAACAAAAATATTTGTAGGTTTATTTTGCCTACAATAATCTATCACAATATTTTTGCAGCACAATGAGAAGTAGTGATATCCTGCTTTAAAGGCAGAAGGCAGAATGAAATGAGAGACTTCTTGCGTTTATTAAAGAAAGTAAAGAACTCTAAACAAGAGTAATATTCACCTATATTATATTCACCTATCCCAAAATAATAATAGTTTAATTTAATGTGGTTAGAGTATAAAATATTTCTTCTCTCACTGAAATGTATTCAGTGAACGTGCAAGTTCTATATTTCTCAAAATAAGTGGGCTACTTCATTTATAAAGTGTCAGATATGTTTGGCTCCCAGGCTAACAAATTACATAGGTATTGATGTACAATTCACTACTTTTAGAGATCTGCCTATCAGAGCAAAGCTCTTTTATTCATTTTAATTTTTCCCTTATGCCTTGAGTCTAGGTTGTTGATTTTGTATGAAATTTTCCCATCACAGCATACAACATAAGAAAAATAAAATACCATGTAGAAACAATAGTGACAGAACAGAAGTTCTGAAGTGGTAATGTTTTCTAAAGCAATAGATTAAGTTATACAAACTTTATAATTACCCTTTAGAAGAAAAGCCAGGTCAAATTTTAGTTCAATTAACCTCTAGAGTGTCTCATTAATCAAAACCCACTTAAAGTGATTTTCTCATTCTAAGCACACCACAATGTGTAATGTGCTGTTTATAAATACGCAGTGAGCTTGCTGTAGTAATGTCACAGCAGTCGATTTTTGTTTTTCTTGCTTATTCAATTGGTTTTGGTTTTCTTTCTTTGTTCCGTCTTTGGAGACATTTATGAGGAAAGGACTAGTTGATCATTTCATGGTACACATCTCCCTGTTTACCAGTCCACTGATTTTAGAAATATGAGATACATACAAAAAGGGAAGTGAGTTTGAATTTTAAAATGTATAAGTCATGGTATACAAGCAGCCCAGAGATTGTATCAATGCCATTACATCAGTGACAGATTTCAAGTAAGAAAAAAAAATGAAGACGCAGATGAGAACAGTGAGATATGCCTCCCATCCTCCCTTAACATTTTTGCCTTCAGTTAGACATGGCTAAAGCAATAATCTCATAACTTTCTCACTCTGCCCAAACTGTATGTGCAAGTAGCTCTGAGGTAAAAAAATGGCACATCTATAGGTCAAGACAATTTTAAAGAGCAATATGGTACATTGCATTATGGGTACAATATGCAAATTTCCAAGAGAGAAATAATTACATTTCTCAAATCAGAATAAACTGAAGTTTCACTGAATCTCTTGTCAGGAATTCTGTATTCTTCGCTCTAAGAGTAGGTTTACAGCAAAATCAACTAGACAGGCAAAGGACTAAAAATTCTGAGGATTTACAAGATGAGAAGGAGTTAAAGCTTAGGAGACAGTTCAGCTGATGAAAGGGTGGTCTTTACAAATATAAGGAGCTGAGTCTGATCCCCAGAAAGTATATAAAAAAATAATACATTGTGGCTCCTGCTGTAATCTCAACTCTGACTAGATGAAGACAGCTATCTCTGGGAATAGCTGGCCCGAATAACTTTATCAATAAGCCACAGATTCCACACTGAGACATTTCCTCAAAAAATAAGGAAATCATCTCTTGAGTAATAGTTGTTGGGCTTGACCTCTGGCTTCCATTAATATGTCCTCATAGGTGAATGCACAATTGGAGACACTTGTGCACACTCATATATACCAGTACACGCATTAAATATAACAAGAAACAATTACAAATGAATTGAAAATAAATAAATAAGGTAGTAGATTAATGATTTGCACCATATATTCTCTGCACTACTGCAATCATTTCTGAAAATTGAGATAACCCAAATTATATAGAGATGAAAGTAGTATAAAAGAAACAATATTCGGTGACAAAGTGAAACTAATTAATTAAGGTTATGATCGTGATAATGTTCATGTCTTTAATCCAAAATGGTATGTAAACATATAAATCTATAAGAATAATTGGATGCATATCAATGTTTTATATTTGCACATATATGTATACACATATATACATATATGTATATATGTGTATGCATATATATATGTATATATATATACATATATATATATATATGCAGCTTACATTTTTCCCATAATCTGACACATAGGATAATGTTTTGAAATGTAAAAAGACTCATCGAATATTTATTGATTCACTATTAGGTAGGTTAATAGGCTCAGCACACCAGGAAACGGAATACATTCTTTCTGTCACAAAAAGTCATACTTAGTTGAAATCAAATGGCAATATGTGAAGTTTAGTGTTTATTTTTAGCTAAGGTGATGAGTACTGACTTCAAATAAGGATGAACATGAAAAACTAAATATCGTCTAACACATTTGGGACACCCCAGCTGTTGACGGTATTTACTGCTCCAGAATCAATGTAATGGCTATGTATTATTGTTACTAATCCAGGACAGCTCAAATTGTTAATGCTTTCCCAGCTAGAGATAGTTGTCAGTGAACTATGTGTCTTATATTAATTAAGATTGCTATTAAAATAATACTTTGTATACTAAATATTTCTAATCACTCCTCCAACTATCTTCTTTGTTACACTGTTTCTTTATAATTTGTAATTCCAGGTAGAAGTGGTCTCTTAATACACAGGTGAGAATGAATGGAACATGCATGTACACACGTATGTATGAATTTGTGGGTTTTATAGAAGGA